TTTTCCCTTAAAAGTTGCCACCTGGGATCCAGACTCGGTCTGCCGTGCTCACCTGGAGCTTTCTCCGGGACGGGCTGCCCATGTGGCGGTCCGGCTACCCTGTTTGTCAGACGTGGTCTTTGCTTTCCAGCGTCTTCCGACTTAAAAAGAGATAAAAGAAACCCTGATAAAAATGAACATCAATGGATTCTCTTGAAGAGCAAGCAAATATGCTTAAAGCATTAACACATTGGATCTAAGAGTAGCTCCTAGTTATAATCGCCTGAAGAATTTTATGGGGTAGAAGAAGAAAGTTCCAGGACATGGAAATAGGCCGGAGCAGTCGGGGAGGCTTCCTTGTTTGGCCAGGTCTTCTCGGAGCAGCTGGGATTTTTAAGGACGCCCGTAAGATCAGGAAGATTGGTTACCCTCTGGAGAGAATGCTGGAGATATAAATGGTTCTGTGGTAACATCTGTGAGATCTTCGCCCTAAACACAGAAAGGAAAACTCCTTTTGGATGGATGAGCCGTACAGCATATCATGTGGTGGAATTTGTATTCTCTGATGTGAAATTTGGGGTGGGGCTTGTGAAACCGCTCAGACAGGGGCCACACCTTTATTTATTTATTTATTTATATTATTATTATTTTTTTAAGATTTTATTTATTTATTTGACAGACAGAGATCACAAGTAGGCAGAGAGGGAAGCGGAGAGAGAGGAGGAAGCAGGCTCCTGGCTGAGCAGAGAGCCCGATGTGGGGCTCGATCCCAGGGTCCTGGGATCATGACCTGAGCCGAAGGCAGAGGCTTTAACCCACTGAGCCACCCAGACGCCCCTGGGGTCCACACCTTTAATCAACTCTTACATGTCTCTCGCGAGGACCCTGTAGGGATCCTCGAACAGCATTATTCATGCTCATTTTGCATTTGGAAACCTGAGGAGCACATGGGGCTTATCTTGGACCACACATAGGTGACCATATGTGCGGCTTTGCCAGGGACAGTCGTGGTTTCTGCATCTTGTCCTGTTGCGATCATGAATAGTGTCCCCTTTCCCTGCCACAAGTGCTCTGGTTTATATTTAAATATAAGGTCACCCTAGCCAGCTGACACGCTGCTGGCAAGAGTAGGATGGGACAGCCTACATTTCATTCACCACCAGATCATCCTTTTAAGCAAATGTTTTCCCAATTGTCAGAAGTCTTACTTCTGAACTCCAGGGTGACACACAACAGTGTTCCCGTAGGAAAGGCTATGGTGTAAGAACACATCAAGGCACGGGGGCTCTGGCTGAAACATTTTTGGTTTGTTTTTCACCTGATTTTGCATCTTTTTACGTTAAGTTACCAGTCTTTGAAAAGTTTATGTTATGGTTTCCTCAAGCATGAATCACTTCTTTCGTGTCCTGATGTCCAATCAGGGTAGGCTCTCTTGCTCTTAATAGGGTTTAAAATAAAAAAGAATTTGATGGGGCGCCTGGGTGTCTCAGTGGATTAAAGCCTCTGTCTTCTGCTCAGGTCATGATCCCAGGGCCTCGGAATCAAGCCCCGCATTGGGCTCTCTGCTCAGCAGGGAGCCTGCTTCCTCCTCTCTCTCTGCCTGCCTCTCGGCCTACTTGTGATCTCTGTCTGCCAAATAGATAAATAAAATTAAAAAATAATAATAAAATAAAATAAAAATAAAAATAAAAAAGAATTTGAAACCCACCAACACTGGCTTCTAGCAATTCCTCTGTTGAAGAACTTGCATCAAGGACGTTGACATGCTTTTTGCAGCCCTGTAATTAAATAGGACTGCTAAGAAGTCACATGCAGTAGTTTCTGATCCTTGGGAGGAGTGCCCGTCGTGGCGACTGTCTGTTTAAGTTGTGCTAGCAAAACCAGTAGCAGCCCAGTTCTGTAGCAGGTTAGCTCCGCCTGAAAAATCACCATTTGCCCCCTTACCTCCATCACTTGTCTTTCCTTTGAAATGACACTTTTTTTGTGTGTTGGCTCATTTTGAAGCATGAATTGCCAACATATGGAGCCATTAACCAAGAAATAGACTTGTACCTTTGCTGGTTAACAGAAATGGAGTTGAAAATTTAGCCCCCTGGTATCATTATTGTAGCTCTCCGTATGACTGCAGGAAAATCACATTTCAAGTTCCTCCCGCTTTCCTTCTGCCTTTCACAGCAAATTTCAAAGTATGGCAGTAGGCAGATTGGTTTGTAATAGCAATTTTTAAACCTAGAAATTAAATTAAACCTAAAAGCACGGTGTGCTTCTAGTTCAAAGAGGGTTTCTTCCAGAAAGAACATTTCCACAGTAACAGCAATGACAATCATAGTATTTTTCATGAAGATCTGAGTTACTGAGCTTATGGGGATTGTAGAAAACAGTGTTTTCTAGAGACCCCTCTCAGAGAACCCGACAATCAGGTCCTAGTAAGGTCTGTGTGCTCTGGAGAGAGATGTGTAGAATAAGTCAGTGCCAAGGCATCCATACAGTACTTTCTCGAATTGTTTTCAGTTCTTGCTCTCAAGGAGAAGGAACAAAGGGCCCAGTAACTAGCCTGGTAGAAGCTTTCCCCCGTAGAATGGTCAGAAAGTTTAACTATTCAAGAGAACGTGATTTACTGTAAATATGTGTCTAGATGGTTGTGGTCCTTAATGATGTATGTTAATTATCTTTCCTGGTAATGCCTTTTTCTTTTGTGCATTCCACAAAGAGTTTTGCTTGGAGGAGTATCTATACCGCCTGCCGGAGGCCTTGCCTGTGGGGGAGGGGAGGGTCCCAGCAGCTCCAACACATGGTGGGCAGAGGGGCTTGCCTGGGCCGCCTGGAAACTAACCAGAGTTTAGAACTGGTGGGAGAGCTGCCCCTCTTTTACCCATTGGGGGATCAACAGGGCCCTGCCCTCACATTTTCCAAACAGCCCAGGAAAGTGAAATCTATGTAATAAAATGGATTTTTTTTTTTTTTTTTTCCTGCCTGGATTGAAAGGCTTCCCAGCGGCTGGGTGCCATTGGTTGTCGTGGACTGCCATTGCAAGCACGCTGTTGTCTCCTTCATCCTGGGGGTTTCCCCAAGATACTGTGTCAAGTGGCAGGTGGGAGCTGTTAGGAATAGGCTCTCCTCGCACCAAAGCCAGTTGGGTTTGCATCTGAGTCCATGGGTGTCTGGTGTAGACCTGCGCTCTGACTGCAATGTGTCTCTCCCTCTCTCCCCCACCCCCTTGCCTCCACCCCAGTCATTTCTGGCATTAATAATTTGAAGGCAAATACACAACAGCTACACAAGGATCAGGATAATCTGGGCCTGGGGGCCTGAACACGGATCCCTCCTTCCTGAACATTTTGTATCTGAGAAAATAGTAAGGTTGAAACAAGATTCATCTGGTGTTTGCCTGCAGGGAACCAGTACAGAAACTGTGTAAGATTAGTTCCTCCTTAAAGCAAGATTACCCGTAATTCTGTTACAAAGTCGCGGAGACCTTGAGCTCTGTCAACTCAACTGCTGTATTCACGCTGGCAGGCGTAGCTTTAACTTTCTAGAAGATTCACCACCTCTTGGATTTCAAGAAAAATCCTGAGGAGTTTCGAGATTTCTTCTTCCCTTCCTGACGTGAGTTCGGCTCCCTCTCTGACATGGCCATTTTCCTTTTGGCCTGTATCCTTTGTCCTTAAAGGGCTTCCACATCTTTTTGCCCTAAATGGCCAAATTATGTCCCCCACACTGCCAAAACACACAGGTGACTCAAGGTCAGAATCTGGAGGATAGGCCAGCCATTGTTCTGGTGGCTTCTTGAGCTAAATTAATCTAAAACCTTGTCCGAGTGGCCTATTAAACTGGGTCAAGGTATGGTCAGCAGGCTAACCATTGTTCTTTTTTTTCCCTTCGAGTGATGGGGCCACTGCAGATGAAAATATCACAGTCCTGCTAGTGATTGTGTGACTGTTAGATGGCTGGAGTGGCAGAACTAATGTTGCTTAAAGTATTTTCCCATCGTGTGTGTGTGTGTGTGTGTGTGTGTGTGTGTACATTGTGCCTCCTATTTTCACTTTCTGGGAAATTTGCCAGGTTTTCAAGGACTGGGTAGAGAACAAAATAAATATTTGTAGATAGTTTAAAAGGAGACTGGCTATGTTGGATGCCACTCTGCCTATCCAAAGAAAAGCAATTTTATTGCCTTTCGGATATTTTAAAGTAATTAACTTGAGAACCCCAGAAGGTTGATTTTACTAGTTTACTTTTCACTTTTCAGAGTTGTGACCAAGGTGTGTGTGTGTGTGTGTGTGTGTGTGTGTGTGTGTGTTGGGGGAGACGGCCGCAGTCGGAGCCTAGGAAAAAGAGCAAAAACTCCTTAAAGTTCAGCTGAAGCGACTGAAATTGTGCGAAAAGCAAACCACCTCTCTGTATGTGTTAATCAGGTTCGAAAGTTAGTGCCGGAAAGTGTTTACTTAACAACATTCAGCATACACGCTTTGTTTTCTTTTTCTTTTTCTTTTTTTTTTTTTTTAAAGGGATTTCACGGAAATTTGGAATGTTCAGCAGTTGGCTGTTTAGTAACACGTAAATCAGCCTCCTTGGGAGGCTCATTCTGTGTCTGAGATTAAAGCAACCGGAGACCGGGCGTTCAGCGCCTGCCGCCGAGCCTGTGTGAAATGCTTTCCTTCCCGGGGCTGCGGAATCTGGGCGGTCTGCAGCGGTGCAAACAGGCGGTCTGGGTCCCGGGTCGGGAAGCCCATCACCTGTTGGGGCCTCGGGCGCGCGCGGCGCAGGGTGGGCCCGGGGCAGGGGCAGGGGCAGGGGCAGCGGGCGGCTCGGAGAGCGCAGCCTCCCCCCTCCTTCCTCCGGGACCGTCCGGCGGGCGGGCGGGCGGGCGGACGCGGGGACGCAGGCACGGAGGGACGGGGGCGGCCCGACGCTGGAATGCAGTTTTCTCGGGCGGGAGAGACTTTGCACCGGAGTGGAGAACAGTTCGGGGTGGGGTTTCGCACGGTCCCCTCCCCGCCCCCCGCCCCGGGCCCCTTTCCAGACGCTTTCTGGGAGCTTGCAGAACTGCGCTCTGAAGTTTAAAGAGCGGCGAGCAGCTTGTGCCGCGGGCGGAGGGACAATGGAAGAAAATGAAAGCCAGAAATGCGAGCCGTGCCTTCCTCACTCAGCAGACGGCGGACAGAAGCAGGGTAAGTAACAGACTCATTCAAAGATGGAGTTACGGTTCCGCGCGCTCCTCGCCGCGGGCTGCGTTTTAGAACCCGAGACGCGGCGCTTGGCGGGGGGAACGCGCGTTTCTCCGGCTGGCGTGCGTTTTGGAAAGTGCGTGGAGAGCTGTGATTCCTTGGGTCCGACTTCGGCTCTGGCAGGCTTTCCTTAAACAGCCAGAGAAGTGGCGTGGGGATGCCGCGTTGGTAGCACAGGGAGCAGTCAGTATGTGTTGTATCTCTAGGCGGTGACAAAATATATCGCTAAAAGCAGCTTTTTCATACTCGCTGCTCCCAGCCGTGGGAGAAAGGAGCTGTTTCTGGGCAGCTATCTCGTATGGGAAGGCAGCGTTTCCAGTCATTGATTGGGGGAATCCCATGAGGCAATGGCATGCTGGGTTGCACGTTTTGCAGAATTTGAGAGTTAAATTACAGAGTTTAGGGATGTTTTATTTTGCAGATCGGAACAGCAGGGGAGCACGGGTCCATCCGGATGATAGATGGGACTGTGCGGAATCTTTGCATGCTTTAATTCAAAAGTTGGGAGTTGTTAGACAATTTGGGTAGATTTTCTCCAGGCAGTTTTCCTTTAATTGTGTTTGTGATAGACTTGTCTTTTCCGTAGGGAGTTTCCAGAAGCTTATGTTGTTCCGAAGAAATTTCACAGTGGGGTTGGGTGGAGAAGGGACTTCTCTGCCCTCCAGTCAGTGACGTCTATGATGCCAGAGCCTATCATATGGTATCATATAGGCAGCTTGTTCAGAAACCCGCACAAGCCCGAAACCATCCCCGCCCACCCTACCCCAGGTTCATCCAGGGGCCAGTTAGGAACTAAGAGAAGCGTTTGCGGGGCTGCCGGGCTCTGCGTGGGAGTAGGGATTATGCACAGGGGAAAAGGTGTGTGTGTTTTAAAAAGGCAAAAGGGAAGTAGCAAATGACTCATCCGCACTGAAAATGCAAAACTAAGCTAGACTGAAGAAAATGGAATTACAAGACATAGAAACGCCCCCCAACCCTCTCACGCTCCCATCCCCCCTACCTGCGGGTGAAACTCAGGAAACTTTAAGCTTAGTAAACCCGGGAGAATCCCCCATTTTACAGTCGTCAGTCTAGGTATCTGTGTTTGTGCTTCTGAAACAGAGCACTCTTCCTGGAGGGCGCCTGGTCGGTGGGGTCCGGTGGGAGATAAGGCTCCCTTCCCTCCCTTAACTGATAGGACAGGATCCTACCGCAGAGACTGAGTCTTCCGGCCTCTGTTAAAATGAATGACACAGAATCTAGAGGGGCAATTAGAATGGGACCAATTTAAGAAATAACTTTCAAACAACCACAGCAATTCAAAGATGCTTCAGAGGCTGGAGATGGTTGGGCTGAGGGAATGTGATCACTTTATTTACTTACTCATTCATTCAATGAATATTGAGCATCTGTTACGTAGTAGTTACTGTTTTAGCTGCTGGGGACCCAGCCGTGAACAAAGTAGTTGGAAAATACTTGCTTTCATTGAACTTATGTTCTAAGAACCAAGTTTGGAGGAAAGGGGTTAGGAGAGAGAGGAGACAATGAACAGATAAATGAAATATATAGCATGTTAGATGGCAGCGTTGCCAGATTTAGCAAATAAAAACACAGGATGCCCAGTTGAATTTGAATTTCAGATAAACAATGAATTTTTTTTTTGTATAAGTATATCCCATGCAATATTTGGAATATACTTATGCTAAAAGTATTCCTTGTGTACCTGAAATTCAATTTTAACTGGGTATTTCATATTTTATCCAGCAACTCTATTAAATGGAAATCAGACAATAGGGAGCCATAGGCAGGAAAAGGGAACAGGGAGTATGGAGAGAGGGTTATCAGGGAGAGCCTCACTGGTGTGTGTTTGAATAAACATCTGAAAGAGGCTAGCGAGGGAATAGGCAAGAACTTGTTGGAAGAACAGCAGGGACATGGGAGAAGGATGGGAGGAAAGAGGTTAGGAGGTAATCCCAGGCCAGATCACACAGGGCTATGAGATGATGCCAGAGATTTGAGCTTTTTTTTTTTTTTCAAAAGAGGTAGGGAGCTGCTGGCAGGTCTGACTTGTCATATATAAGGGATATTGGGTGCTGCACTGACAATAACCCAAGTGGGGGCAGGGGAGGGGCAGGGAGACCATCTCAGAGGCTTCTACAATAAGCCATACAGAAGCTTGGACCAGCGGGTTGTAGGACAGGTGGTGATAAGAAGACAGGTTCTAGATGTATATTGAAAGTAAAGTCAAAAGAATTTGCAGAGGGATTGGATGTAAGATACAAGAGAAAAGGAGGAGTCTAAGATGATTTCAGAAATGTCTGTCCGCCTGGCTGGAGGGATGGAGTTGCCATTTACTTACATAGGAAAGAAAGCATTTGAGTGCAGCAGAGGAGAGGAAAGGGTGTTTCTGGCTTGGAAATGGAGGAGACCAGGAAGTCCTTTGGATAGGTGAGGATGGAGATGTTTATCTCACATCTAGATGTCCGGAATGCTGATAGCTGCGTGGATATTCTCCACCGGAATTGAGGAGAAAGGTCTGGGGCCTGTGGAGGACCTGCTGGGATTGGGTCTGTGTGTACAGGTCCCAGTGTGCTCTGGGGCACTTGAGCATTTAGAGGTCAGGGAGGTTGGGGGGGGGTGGCTGGAGAGATTGTAAGGGTGAGAAGTATTCAGTTTAGATGTGCCGGGTCCCACTGAGTTCTGTAAAGGAGGATGGCTTCTGTTCCAGGTGTACGGTAAGCACGAGGACCGTACAGGGAGGCCAGGCCTCTGCTCACATCACCTCTAATACCCCATGCCCGCTCCTAGCCACTCCTAGCCACACCTGATGGTATTTGTTTCTGTATCTGTTTTACTGGATTACAGCGCGGAATACCAGGGCCAACCAGGTCTTCTCCATCCTTAACATTCCCTCTACCCAACACACCAGCCATGTAGAAAGCACTCAGTAAATATTTCTTGAACAAAAGGCTAATGATCCCATCCCAGGGCTTGGAGTTTACCCGTCAGTCTCCTGTAGGTAAGGATCCCCTGGATGATCGTGTAACTTACTATCTAGACCCAGACACTTTTGAAAGTGAAACTGCACCCTATAAATAATTTTGCTGGGATGGCAGTTGTAACGCACAACTGTTCAGGCAAACCGGGGCATACGGTGACCTCAGGAATAGCTCTCATCAGCGAGGCTTCCGTGGCTGGATAAGCAGCCTGCTTAGGCTGGCAGCAGTGTGAGTCCGTACCTCGAGGTGCACCGCACCGAGCAGACACTCGGTAGTTACTGGCCGAACTGCCGTCTAAAAATCTGACGCTCCCTTTGAAGGCCATGGGCTCCTCAGAGCTATTCTGGGATGTTCCCTGGGATGTGTCAGCCCCCAGCAACCCCGAGGTGTCTGCTTTTCCTCCGGCCCCTAAGCTCTTGAAACCCCTGGGCAGGGGAAGTGTTACCATCCACCTCTTGCCTCCCCCAACCCCTGATTCACCAGTGTTTCAAGATAGTGTATGCTTTGGGGGGGTAATCATTTTGCAATATATAAATGTATCAAACCAGCACACTGTACACCTTAAACTTGCAAAAAAAAAAAAGAACGCATTGGCAGTGCCCACGGCCCATCGGGGAGCCCCTGATATTCAAATCTTTGCTCAGAACTCTAAAACTGCCCCATCGGTCTCTGCCCCTTACCTGTTTCATCCTTCCGAGCATTTATTACATATTATTTGTTCATTGTCTGCGTCCCTGTTTGTAATGTGGATCCGCTGTGAGGCAAGGGGATTAACTCTGTCTTGATCACAACTTCACTGCGTTTCCTAAGTCCTTTTAGTGTACAGGAGCAGACACTCAAGACGTATTTTTGAGAATGAATGAATGAATCATCCGACCAACACTTGAGATGAGAATACTTTTCTGGGGAGCAGAGGGACTGTTCCTCTTTTGTCTGAAAACCCATACCAGAAAACTTCTCTGTCACTTACTTAATTTTTCAGGATTTTTAGGTGAATAATTATCATGGTCTGATTTCAGCTGCAGTTTCTGTGCCAGTTTGTGTATGGGGGTGAGCTGTGGGATGGTAACAAGAGAACTGGCCAACCGAGGAACCCCGTGGGCCCCCAGCAGAATATGTGATCTGTATTAGTCAGGAGGCTAATTGTAACAACCCTGAAATCTGTGTGTTTAGTCAATGTTAATATTTTGAACACAATGGAAAGTGGACATTCCTGGCCAGGTGGATCTCCTGGGCGCCCAGCCATAGGCTGACTCTGGGACCCCATTCCCCAAGGCTTTGGCATTTTCCACTGGAACCATGGCATTCAGCTAGCCAAAGAAGAAAGAGAACCAGCAAGGATGATTATTCAGGAAGCCTGGGGCGGGGACTAAAGGTGTCTCACCTCACTTACATTGACTGGAGGAATTATTAGTCCAAGACCCCCGCTAGATGAAGGGTCCTGGAAAATGCAGTCTTTCCGTGTGTGTGCAGCAGGAGGACACTGTGGTGTGAAGACACAGACGGACAGGATACTGTCGCTGCCACACGGAGTTGGGACAGACAACCAGACGAAACAGCAGTTTCTCACGATGTTTCTATGGCCAGAGAGGAACTTGGCACAGTTTCAGAGATAGCTAACCAGGAGCCACTGTAAAGAAGTGAGGGGCTCCTTCTCAGAGAGGCCGTGGCTTACCTAGTCTTCGCTCGGGAGTAAAAATCCCAGGGAAATGTGGTTGCTGGCTCTCGGGGAGAAAGCGGGCGTGGAGTGTCCCAGTGATGCAGGGGCCCAGACTCCTTGCTGTAAGTCAGCGGACCTGGTTGAAGCCATCCAAGCTGTGGCTCAGGGGCCCCGTGGGCTCTGGCCCGCGGGAACTTGCTGCATCTCCACCCTTTGAAACTCTCAGGCGCTTCTGCCCTCCTCACCCCTACTTCTGCTCCACGGAAGGTTGGAGGGGCTGTTCCCTGCCCCAGGCTCCCGTTGTGCTCTCTGCCCTGCTCCCAGCAGCTACAAAGGACTCGCCCTGGGCTGGGCAGAGGCTGGGAGCGGCAGGAAGGGGAAACTGAAAGCGGGTCTTCATGCTCCAGCCCCGTTCTTTGTTTGGCACGGATTCCCAGAATAGCGAGCCCCGGGACACACCCGTCCTTAAACGTTAGCACCCAAGCGCATTCCAGGCGAGAAATAGAACTTTATTTCTGTGTTGATGGCTTTGTGGATAATGAAGAACTGGCCCAATCTCGGATCCCTGACTCCACAGCTGTGGACCTGGGACTCCGTGTCCTTTGCCCTTTCTATCCCTGCTTAGGAGTTGGGGCTCCTCAGGCGAGAGATCACATTCACCCCGAAAAGCCTGGAATGGTGAAAGTGCCACTTCTACTTCCGGCGCGGAAGTCGGCAGCGCCCAGGAGCGGAGCCTCCCTGGGGAGAAGGCTTGGGTGATGGGGACGCGTGTTCAGGGTGGATCGTGGTGTTGGGTTGTTGTTGACGGTGCCTGGGAGGACGGAGCAGGTGCCTGGTGGTCGGATGGGAAACAGATGGGGCCCATAGCTGAGGGAGGTAGTGGGCAAGAAGGTGAGACAAGGGGAGGAGTGAGCCCCACCGGCTCCTGGATGTCTGCCAGGGGACTGTGCCCCCGGCCATCGGTGCATTAGTCATCGATGCTGTTCGCTACTTTCCACCAATTCACGTTAAACCTTGTTAAGCAACTGGAGACATTTTAGAAGAATCCACCAGAGAGAGGGAAAAAAATGGCAAAGTACCATAAGGTCGACAGGACCTTGCAGAGCAAAGTGTTAGGAAAAAAATAGGGGTTTAGAGTGTCGGCAAGCCGGAGCTGCCCAAAGGTGAATGGTGACAGAAGATGGACCCTGAACGCCTCCTCTCCCCCTCCTGTTCCTTTCCCAATTTATCTGAAGGAAGAAAGCGGAAAAGTCTTTTCAGTCTCCACGGGGCTACTGTTCTGGCTGCCTTGACCTATCCTGAGGAGTCTTGGATGAAACAGCATAGTTCTTGGGAGTCTGTGTGACAGAGGGAGGCGGAATGGAACTTTCTGCCCCTGTTGGTGTGGAAGGTTCCTGAACGTTTATCCGTGTGCTTGTCTGTGTGTGTGCCCACTTGAGGAAGTCACCTTTCCAGAGACCCAGTCCTGCTCATTAATCTAGCTGTCCTGGATAATTTTGAAAATATGTTAATGATGTCAAAAGTAATCGTAAAAATCTGTTTAAAAGTCAACAGCGTTACATCAAGTGTACAACAAGTTTTGGGCTAATATAAAACTCATGTGCACGCATACGCACTCCAGAAGCTAAAGCTAAACCAGATTGCACACGTATTTACCAAGCTGACATATGTCATTTTCTGCATCTAGCTTCACTCAGCGGATCCTGTTCCTTCTGTTTTATTCAAGAAGACACCACAAAGAAGGTAGCCGTCACGTGAGTGCACGTCACGAGAAGGCAACCTAAATAAATAATACAGTTCATCTCTCAATATCTTTTTAGTCAATAGTTCCATCTTCCTCCCCTTCTGAATTTACTGCTTAAACACATGAAAAGTAGGAGAATTAACCAGTTTGGCTATTTTCTTCCTCCCTTTCCTCATCGGTGTTGATGGAGATGCTATAATTAGCAATGTAATGAGAAGTGAAGAGTAAACAAGAAGAATTATTCCCAGAACACTCTTCTAGGGATGGAAAAATAGAGTAGGAAAGCCAACCTGAGTTTAAAATGTTTTCTATGCCTAACCAAAGGGTGTTGTACCTAGAGTTCTGTAGAGAGACGTTTCTGGACAGTGAGGTGGGGAACGTGTTGGTGGCGTTGCCTTTAGACGAGCTCGTTTATGCATAAGCCGGACACTCTGGGTGTCTCTGGTGTAAAGTCTTATTTCTCTGTCTGAGACTCCAATCTAGAACTTTCAAATATTAGGTCTCTTTTTCTGCACCTAACTTTTTTTTTTATAAAGTTTAATTTATTAAATTTTATTTTATAAACATATAATGTATTTTTATCCCCAGGGGTACAGGTCTGTGAATCGCCAGGTTTACACACTTCACAGCACTCACCATAGCACATACCCTCCCCAATGTCCATAACTCCACCCCCCTCTCCCGGCCCCCCTCCACCCAGCAACCCTCAGTTTATTTTGTGAGATTAAGAGTCACTTATGGTTTTCTCCCTCCCAATCCTATCTTGTTTCCTTTATACTTTTCCTACCCTCCAAACCCCCCACATTGCATCTCCACTTCCTCATATCAGGGAGATCATATGATAGTTGTCTTTCTCCGATTGACTTATTTTGCTCAGCATAATACCCTCTAGTTCCATCCATGTCGTCGCAAATGGCAAGATTTCATTTCTTCTGATGGCTGTATAGTATTCCATTGTATATATATACCACATCTTCTTTATCCATTCATCTGTTGATGGACATCTAGGTTCTTTCCATAGTTTGGCTATTTGCACCTAACTTTTTAAGATCAATAGTTAACAAATGGAAACGTCTTTAAAAAATAGGTTAGGGGCGCCTGGGTGGCTCAGTGGGTTAAGCCGCTGCCTTCGGCTCAGGTCATGATCCCAGGTCCTGGGTTCGAGCCCCGCATCGGGCTCTCTGCTCGGCAGGGAGCCTGCTTCCTCCTCTCTCTCTGCCTGCCTCTCTGCCTGCTTGTGATTTCTCTCTGTCAAATAAATAAATAAAAATCTAAAAAAAAAAAAAAATAGGTTAGAGTAGATTTTAAAGGATGTAGAGCTAGAAGACACTGTGTATCTATTACTAGTCCACCATCTTCATTTTATCACAAAGACAGTGAGGCTGGAAGGGATCTAAGTCTAGCGTGAAAGGCCGAACTCCTGAGAACCCCCACTCAGTGCTTTTTCCTGGGAATTCAGTGAACGAGGACACTCTGTTTGGCCTGCATCTGTGTAGGGTGTAAGAACTCTTCCTGACAAAGACAATTTGAATGTTTATAACATTCTCTTGCTGTTCGCGGGTTTTTGAGAAGTAATTGCCTTGTTCTTTTCAGTTAACGGGAATATGCAAACCCAACAACCCATTTGCCAACCATCGAGAATGAGCAGAGATCCCCTGTCCGCGTCCGGCAGGGGAAGCATTGTCATTGCCTGGCTCACTTGCTCCCTGCTAGGTGGAAGTCAGCTTGGCCCTTAAAGCCCAGGTCAGAGGCAGGGTCAAGCCCAAGGGTCAAGTTTTAGGCCATCCACACGTATCATATCTCTTCCCTTTTCACTGTGTGTTTTAAAGTCCGCTTCCCATAAAATGTGTCTAAGCCTTTCCATTCCTTCCATTCTTACCTGATGATAATATTAACCTAATAATATTCCATTTGTTTGCTTTATCCGAATTGGCGGGGAAGGCTGGATTTTGTAGGTGGCTCACCCATCAGTGATTATGATAGCTTTTTTTGGTCTTGGGGATGAAATAAGTGTCTCAGATTGTAGAAATGTAAAAGTCCTGTTACCAGCATGAAATTGTAATTAAAAATAAAGAAATAATCAGAACCACTGGAATTAACTTTTCTGTAATTACGGATGAAGGTAAGGGGTAACCCAGTAGCCTGCAAACTAGTCTGACCACGTGTTCTTATTTTGAGTAACCTCAGGGAAGAGTCAGAAATAGCCCACTTTTTTCTGCAACTTTTCCTTTTAGTGTGATTCTTTTTTTTTGTAGTTCCTTTGATTGTTGATTTTATTCCCCCTTCTTGCCTTAAAAAAACAAAAACAGAAACACCTGCTAGGTTACACTTCCACATGAACAGCCACCACAAACCCTCTCTGTATTCGGTAAATGAGATATCTATTGAGATCATTAATTATGAACTATACTTGGTTCTTTTTGTCTTTCAGAACAAGGAAAAAGCAGTCTACATGTAACGTCCTTAGAAGATGCAGAATGCCGCCGAACCAAGGAACGCCTCTCTAATGGAAACAGTCGTGTTTCAGTTTCCAGGTCGTCCCGCAACATCCCAAGGAGACACACTCTAGGTGGGCCCCGAAGTTCCAAAGAAATCCTGGGAATGCAAACATCTGAGATGGACAGGAAGAGAGAAGCTTTCCTGGAACATCTGAAGCAGAAATACCCCCATCATGCCACCGCAATCATGGGCCACCAAGAGAGGCTGAGAGACCAGGTAGGAACATGGCACCATTTTGCTGTGCACAGCTCATTCTGAAATGAACATGAGGGAAAGCAAAGTGACCAGCAGTGCAGAGGGGGAAAAAACAGTTGAGTGGATTGTGCCCACCGTTGGGTTGTGCCAGATCTGTTTTGGGCCTTGGGAGGAGAAGGCAGCCTGTATGTAGTAAAAGGTTTGACCTGAAAGCTCAGTTCTCTTGAATGCCAGAGAGGAGAGACCCAGAGAGTCTGTGGTTCCCCCAAAAGGAGTGTCCTGATGTTCAGCCACAAATACATCTAACATATAGGCAGTAAGGGGTATTACTCTCCTGAGGGAGGCCTAGGATCAATTACTGTGCACTCAGAAAGCACTTGAGTGCTTAGCACAGTGAATGAATGAATATATGCATACATATATACATATGCATACATATATACATAAATACGTTTTCAGGGTCAAGCGGAGCACAGAGGGGTAGACTTACGGTAAATGCCTTTTCCTTAGGAGGCTGACATTAGGGTTCAGTTTCTGCTCTTTTTTTCCCCCCCTTTTAATCACAGATGTTTACCTTTTGCATTCTTGCCTTTCCGCTGTCATCAGCTACCTGTTTTCTCAGGTTATCTTGACAGCTGCACAGATTACCACCCAACTGTGGCTTCGGATGTTTCTGTTTTTGTTTCTTGGCTCCGTGCAGTGACTTCTTGAGCAGACAGTACAGTTTTGGGGTCGCAGGAGATGGGAGGCCTCCCGTGTAGCCCTCACAGGCATGTTATCCGATTGACCTTAGAGGCTGGAGGACATGGTGAAGGAAGCACAGCCCACTTGGCGATAGATGCGGTCGGGGAAGAGGGCGGGCTCTTACTGATTTCCACACTCCAGATAGAGGGGCGTGTTCGCTGTTTTAAGTCTAATGTCTTGCCAGTTAACTGGTAACAAGAGTAATGTGTAACTAACTCAGCTTTTGGGCGTCCGTGGAAATGGAAATTGGCGTTGGCCTGAATAATTTGAACCTGTACTTCATCCTCAGTCTCATTTTATGCATTTAAATTCACCCTTCTCTTCTCTGAAATCTTTATTAGAGTGCCTAAAATTATAAAATGAGCTTTGTGGGCTGTATGTTGGTTTTTTGTTCATGTTGCCAAAAGGCGGCAGACCCAGAAGAAGAGAGAAGGGCAAGGAATCCTGGTGGATGTAGAGCCGATAAATTCTTCAGTAATTAAGAAAGTGGTGACTGTTTTCATTTCAAGTGCATATAGAAAATACACCTATTATATGTATGTATGTATGTATGTATGTATTTACTCACTTGAGTTTTGTCCCACAGTTTTATAAGATATAATTGACATATATAAAAATATCCCTATTTTTTAGTTGCTGGTAGGGTCAGTATCCATTTAAGTAATGCGTCATGTTTTTATGAGGCACCATACTTTATCCAAAGTGGTTTAGATTGAGGAAACTCAAACTTAGAATAGTTACAAATACACAGTTTTCTAAGGCAAAGTTGGAATTTGAATCTGGTTAAGTCTGAGTTCAGAATCCTTGTTGAGTCCACTGTTCTGTAAGTTGATCATTGCCTATAGAGCAGGTAGTGTGGCAAAAAAAAAAAAAAAAAAAAAGCAAAGAAAGAAAGAAAGAAAAAGAAAAAAAAGCCTTCGTTTCCAAGGTTTTTGACTCATCTAATAATTAAATTGATGTAAGACAGATTAACAGGAGAAAAGCAAACTAAAGTTTAATAATATGTATACTTCCTGTGTGTATATGAGAGAGACCCAGGAAAACTGAGTAACTCCCCAAAATGGCCAAAGCTATCACCTGAAGTACCATGTTCCACTAAAGACAAAAACAGTTGTTGGGGGTGGGAGTCAGTTATGGGAGGTTACCAGGAAAAGCATAATAATCAAGGATAAAGTTGTTATGACCTAAAATAATTTAGATAGTGTGCCTGGCTCAAAAAAGGAGCTATTACTAGAGACTACTGTTTCTCCAAAAGAACTATCTGTACATCAGGGCAAACATCTAATTATCGAACATCTCTTCTTCTTGTTCTGTGAATCACCCTCCTCTCCTTTGAAGCCCTAAGCCCCTACCCCATTCCTTAGCTTAGGATTTCCTATAAGCCTCAACTGACCCTACATGTTCTTGGGTCTCATATTCTTTTTTTTTTTTTTTTTTTTTTTTTTTTTTAATTTATTTATTTGTCAGAGAGAGAGAGAGAGAGCGCGCGAGAGTGAGCACAAGCAGATAGAGTGGCAGGCAGAGGCAGAGGGAGAAGCAGGCTCCCTGCTGAGCAAGGAGCCCAATGTGGGACTCGATCCCAGGATGCTGGGATCATGACCTGAGCCGAAGGCAGCGGCTCAACCCACTGAGCCACCCAGGCGTCCCTTGGGTCTCATATTCTTACAGGGTTCCTATATATACATAATTAACTTTGTTTTTCCCATGTTAATATGCCTTATATCAATTCACCCGCCAAAAACTTGGAAGGGAAAAGGGAATTTTTTTCCTCCCCAACAGTCTGTACATTCGGTGTAAGGGACATGGTGAGGTTCTGTGTGTGTGTGTGTGTGTGTGTGTGTGTGACTATAAGGACAGGGGTGAGGGTAAAGGAGTTTAGGAAATTGATAGTGTGTTGAATGAGGAGGGAGAATATATATTTTTAAAGTTAGAAATATATTCATTTTGCTGAGAAATTGAGAAGTTAGTATTTCAAAATGTATATTTTTCGCATTAAAAATATTTGTTATTATCATTACTGTTATTCATGATCTCATAATTATTGCTACTGCTATTATGAGGCTTTGGCTAGAACTCTCACATGGGAAGCCTAAATATAACGTGAGGGGTTCATGGAATCAGATGACTGGGAATAATGACTGTGGCTTAGCGGCCTCAACCTCTGATCTCCTATCGCATACATCTCCGCCACAGGTGTCTTCTGACCGTGGCTTGTCAGCTGTCCCTTTACTGGGTAATTCAGGATGAATTCTTGGGTATTTCAAGCTGACCATTTAAAGGGGGAAAGATTCTGATGCATGGATTTGTGTACGTGTTTTTTCCTTCCGTTGTTGTTCCTCAGATGAACCCTACTCAGCATTGTGCACATCAGAGATAAGCTCAGGCAGTTCACGGTTTAGGAAATTCCTATGGACAGCACTTCATCTTCTGTTTTTTCCATTCTTTTTCTCCTACTGTCTGTTTCCTCTTTCCTGTCCTCTTCTCCAGGACACCCTTTGTTCCTCCCTGACCTTCTTAAAGTGGATTATTCCAGGCTTCCTTTGCAGGAAGATCGTATGACCAGCCATAAGGAGGAATTCAAATAAACAGGTCTGACCACTTACTTAATATTGAGGTTCTAAATACCGCATACTCTTCTGGTGGCATCTTACATGAAATACCTGGGTATTAAGGGAATCCAGATTCCAATTCCTTGGGATTAAACCAAAGGAGAATTAGAGCATACCTTACATTTCAATCTCAGTTCAAACACTGCGAGATTCATGGTTGAAAACCTGTATTTGAGCCTTTGAAAATAAGTCAATCAAGAATTTTCTTGAGTCTGAATTACTGAAAAGAGGTATTTGAGCCTTTGAAAATAAGCCAATCAAGAATTTTCTTGAGTCTGAATTACTGAAAATAGGTTTCCTTAACTTCCTTCTACTATCTCCTGAAAATGAAGATGACCATTAGTGCAGCATAATACTTACCTGCATAGTAGTAGCTGTTTTTTTTAAAGATCATATTTATTTATTTGACAGAGAGAGAGGGAGATCACAAGTAGGCAGAGAGGCAGGCGGGGTTGGGGTTGGGAAGCAGGCTTCCTGCTGAGCAGAAAGCTGGATGCAGGCCTTGATCCCAGGACCCTGAGATCATGACCTGAGCTGAAGGCAGAGGCTTAACCCACTGAACCACGCAGGCGCCCCTGGTCACAACATCTTACAGTACCTATATTACACTATCTAGTAATGCCTTTATCATACTTCTCTTTCCCATATAGAATATACTTATGGAGGGCAAGAACCTTGTTTTAGTTACCTTTGTAAAGTCAGCATTTAAGGGAATATGCAACCTAAATGAAGCCTCATCAGTTTTTGTTGAATGAAGGAATGAGTTCGCCAATGTATTTCTAATACAATTAGAATGTGATAGGATGGGGTGCCTGGGTGGCTCAGTGGGTTAAAGCCTCTGCCTTCAGCTCAGGTCATGATCCCAGTGTCCTGGAATTGAGCCTTGCATCGGGCTCTCTGCTCAGCAGGGAGCCTCCTTCCCCTCCCTCTCTCTGCCTGCCTCTCTGCCTGCTTGTGATCTCTGTCTGTCAAATAAATAAATAAAAATCTTAAAAAAAAAAAAAAGATTGTGATAGGTACCATATGAGGGATAAGGGGCGGGGGCGAGAATCCAAGAATTAAGAGATCATTTGCAGCTTGGGAAGTCAAAACAGACTGAGGCTAAGAAGCTAAGACAAGATAAGTAATTTCCCTCAAGTCAAGAAGCCACCATTTGAACCAAGGTCACAGTCTCTCAAGTCTGTGGTCTTTCTATTTGTTACTGACTGGTATTTGCTTCCTCTACCTTTAGTTTTTCTGAAGTTTTGGTAACAAAATTAACGTACATCACCGCAGGTCGAGCAATAGAGACATTTCGTTGCCATTTCTTTAAAAAAGATTAATCTTGGGGCGCCTGGGTGCAGTTGGTTGAGCATCTGCCTCTTAGTTTTGGCTCAGGTAGTGAGCCGGTGTTGGGCCCCACGCTCAGCAAGGCGTCTGCTTAGGACGCTCTTTGCCTCTCCCCTTGCCCCTCTGCCCAGTGCAAACATGCATACACACTTTCTCTCTCTCTCTCTCTCAAATAAGTAAATAAATCTTTAAAAAATAATAAAAAATAAAAAGATAAATCTTAATTCCAGCATGCATGAGATAATCATAGAAAATAAGTTCTTGTATATATTTTACATTGAAAGGAGTTACTTTTCTGAAGCAGCTCGGAGTTCCGAAGGGTCTTTACTTCAGCCGTCT